CACTAGAGTGGCGCACCTCCTTCTGTCAGATTGGCGCAGTTGCTACCACTTAGGCATGCCATCTGGGTCATCCCTGTGGAAGTAATGGACATTGAACTGTTCATTTGATGTTTCAGAGCAGATTTTTTTTATTTACTATAAATTAATTGATTGGTACCCACGATCAAACACCAGTTAAATAGCTAATTAATTAATGTTGAAAAGGTATGTGCTAAATTTTTAATTTGCAAATATAGACGAATAGGATAGTATCAATGATAGAATAAATTAGGAAAGTGGTGACATCAAAATACAACCAATAGAATAAATCAATGAATAGGTAAAAGAAATAACAGAGAAAATCGTTTTATTTGCCAACGAATAATTTGTTCATTGGCCTATAAACTTCAAGTAGGCCTAACAAAAATGATTTTTATGGATAAAATAGTGGCTTAGTGAAAAATAATAGTACGACTTACAATAAACACAATCAATAATTTATTTCGAAATAGACATTTTACTTTAATTAGTGCTGATTTTTTATTTGCCAAAGATAAAGGAAGAAAAGTAGCATTTACGAAAGTAGTATCCATTTACTCAACAGAATAAACAATTAATTACAATTTATCATGAATAAACGAACAAGAGCCTGAATATTGTCTACGACTACGATCTACCTCCAATAGAATAAATAATAGGCTACCCCAGCGGCAGCAAACCTGCAGACTAAAACCATGCATTCATAGATTATTTTACTAAAATATTCTCTTAAATTTGTCAGATTTATTTCCCATAATCAGGGCCGGACTTAGGACTTCAGGGGCCCCGGGCAAATTTTCCAATGGGGCCCTAGGATTTCAGTTTGGGGGGTCTTCCGGGGGGATTGGGGGGCATGGAATACCCCCCAAGCCAAAGGGGGGTCCGGGGGTCCTCCTCCGGGAAAATTTTCTAAATTTAGGCTTCAAATAGAGCAATTTAAGGCCAAATAAACAATAAGTTCTATATCAAAAATCGTTCTTAAAATATAAATATTTTTAAATATTTTTATATACAGCATCTTTTAATTATATACACAAAAAATAAAAATGTTTGAAACCTAATCTCTTGCATTCACTATTTAAACAAACTCTGACCAAATGTTTCAATTGCTTTGTAGTACCAGTGTCGGCATATTTGGTATGGTAGCGTGGTAGGCTACCATAATATATTTAGATTAGAAGTATTGATATATTTTTGTTTATTACGTATTTAAATTATCGATTATTGCCGTCAATTTGTATGATTTTTCAATATTACTACAATATAGGTGTGATTATTTTATTTTCATAATGGTTTTGGTACATATGGCATTCTCGTTTTTATAATATGTTAAAGTCCTAGCATGAAAAGTACCATTGAGGACTTTCAAGTTTGAGTTTTTTATTGACGAGCAAAATCTTGCAATGTCTAATAAACACTCACAAGCTAACTATTTATATGAGTAACTGAAAGATGTTTAAATTGATCCAATATCGATTAATACAACACAAACATCGCATTGAATACAGCATTACTCACTTCAGCTTTGTTTTTGTACTGTTAGTTTGCAGAATTACAATAAAATAACACAAAATTAAGACAATTTCAACCAACTTGACGTGACCACTAGTTTCAAAGGACAAACTATGGGAGTAAAGTGATTTAAATTGTTTTGGATAGGCGATAAGGCATTTTATGTGTGTGTATGCGCGTGCGTGAGACAGACAGGACTACACAGGATCCCTTATCAGCTCATTATTATTTATTGTTGCAGCTGCTTCTGCTTATCGCTTGTTTACGATTTCAGTCGACAATGCTCGCCCACTCCCAATAAATGTAATTTTTTGTTAACATCAGTCAGACGACTCTAGTTGTTTTAAAGTGTCTATATAGATTTTAAAAATCTTACTGGCGCTGTATGATTTTGACTCCAAAGACTAAATTAGAGATCAAAATTTTGACGCATAACTTAATTAAATACTATTTTACAAAACCTTTAAATTGAATGGATAATATACTTCTACTCCTTAAAATCCTGATTGGTATATAGGCCAATCAAAGGCCTACTTAGAGGTAAAAGAAAAGAATAACATTTAATAAAACATAAACGGAGCAATGTTTTTATTTTTAAAAGTATTTGAACTCCAGTGAATCTCCATTTAACACAACACAATTTTACAAGTTACGTTCTACGTTGGGACAAGAGTTTTCATATTTATTGTATTTTTGCCCCAAGCGCGGGGCCCCTTCAACTCATTCGCCGCGGCCGTACGTTCGGGCGAGCGGCTTCGTAACTGAAACTTGTCCGTCACAGCCTAGCACATATGCTCGTGTAAACCAGGCCTAAGCGTGGGGCCCAGTGCAACTCTGAGGAAAAGTCCCTTAGGGTCAAGAATTTTGTTCCTAGTAATGCCTTAAAATGCACCTAACAATAACCTAAAATATAGGATAACGAAAATAAAAATAAAGCTGTTACAAAAGAAGGCCATGTGGTAAGTGTCTGATCAATTTTCAAAGTTATTAATAAAAACTACTGTGCAAGGGGGCCCCTGTCGGGGCCCCCCTTGGCCCGGGGGCCCCGGGCGCTCGCCCCCTTCGCCCATAGGTAAGTCCGGCCCTGCCCATAATTTGTTAGGAGGACTTTTTATCCTACGCCCTGCCCTGTAAATTGACGAATGACACATGGTCTCGTGTGTTTGTAGTCCACGGTAGTTTAATTGGAGCTGTGGCAGGGCGAGAAGCAGCCACGGTGTTGTGGTTGTGGTTGGGTGGTTTTGGTTGTGGTTGGGTTCGACCTCAACCATAGCCCGAACTGTGGTTTTGCCCGGCAATCGCTGTGAAGCTGCTCTGATATATTCGGAACCGAACTGTTTTTGTTATCGAATTTATTTGGAGTGTTGTAATACATAATATACGTTAGTAAATACTGCTCCCTGAGCGCTGTTTTTAACGTGATTTAATGCTATAATTTACATACAATTTAAAATAAGAAGTTAAACTACCACGACTAGTAGTAAATAGTCATTTTGTAAATAATCAAAATACTAATACTTTTGGTTGAAGTTAAGAGAAAATTCCATATGTCCTTATTCTGAAGCATTTATATTATTGGAGGCATGTTTGAAAAACGTATAAAAAATTAAAAAAGTTAACTTTGACGGAAATATAAACACCTATACACGGATTCCAACGTATTTTTTTATTTAACTAATTTTTCATAAAAATGTGTTTACCATTTAGAGGGAATAACAATTTCCACACGTAAATGTTGACTTTTGTAAAAATTATACGATTTAAAAAAGCATAACATAATTATAGGGAATTAAAAAATGTCTACAGCTCGCTACCATCACCCAGTAAATGTTTAACATTCAAAGAAAACTCTGAAGAACATAATTAGCCAATTAAACTGCGCAGGTTTGTGCAAGCGGAACTAACGCGAGGGGGACAACAGACGAGATCTCCGCCACTACTGTAGTGACAATAGTAACAGCTGACCACACACCCCCGCCGCAGCAAACCTGTAGCTGTAGACTACGCGAACTTCCATTTGCCTGATTGGATTTTCAATCAATTATTTTATTAAACTTCTCATATGTATTCACTCTTTGAAAACATTAGGTTTAACGAGTAGACTATTTATGTTAAAAAAAATCGTTCATGCGTGTTAGTTTTACCATGAGACAAGGATAGGTTAGCTTATTCGCTATATGGAAAATCACTATATAAAATAAACAACATTTCTTAAGGAATAGGCTTCTAAGTAGTCAGTAGAATATGTAGGTAAATTTAAAGTAAAATGCTGGATAGATTTTTTACTGAAATTATTATTAAATTAGTCGCATGATTTATATATTAGCTTTAGCTCAAAGTAGCGAAATAAACATGCTTTTATCCGAGCTTAGGTACCAAGCATTTTTTTCGGAAGAAGAATTCTAAATTAACAATTCTGTCGCAAAGTACCCTCGGAATCAGTGTTAAACATTTGTTTAAGCATTAAATTATTTCCAAGAGATACAAAAAGCGCCGGAGACGTGTCAGATTGCAATTAGTCATTTATTTACAGAGGATTATAAAAAGACGAATTATCGCGCTGCGAGAGATCGGATTTATTTTTAATCAGTGTCTTTATAATAGAGTGGGGGGACATCCGGGGGGATGATGAAGGTGTAGAAAATATGGCGTCGTTTTATTCTCGTGCGGGCTTAATAAAATATAGAAAAAGAAAGAGCGACGGCGGGGTAGAGGGTAGGACTGAATGCCGACCACGTTGCCGGCGTTCCCGAGTTTTTATTATTATTATATTTCCCGGTACATAGTAAACCCGGTGTGCAGAAAGAGAAAATCCCCGGCCTATCTCTTTTTCCACCACACGCGAAAACGCGAGGAAACGAGTCCACGTGGACTTGACGACGAGCTGTCACTGTTGCTAAGCGACGCGGCGGTGAAAACGATCCCGGATTGGTCCAACAGCCGTTACGATTGGCCGCCGCCAAGAGAGGGCGGGGCTTCACTTGCCTTGCTGACATACGGGGGAGGCGTGACTCACTCAGCGGGCGCGCCGCTATTGGACAAGTGGCCCTCACCGCGCGCTCCGATTGGCGCAGAGCTCTTCAGTGAGTCCACGTGGACTACTGATCGCGTTGTACCGTCGCCTCTGTGCATTTGAAACTGGTAATCGTCCAGAAAAGGGGTGTACGGCGTCGTTGCCACATCTAGGGTCGACGGAGGGTAAAAAATAGAAGGTCGTACATGTAGGGGTTTCACAGTGGGGGTTTTTTATACAAAAATATTTTTCGAAGTTTGTGATATTTTTCTTTGTGTACGCAGTATTCTCATAGGTTTTCTCTACGTACGACTCATGCACAGCCTAAGTAGTGACCAGTGTGGTGTACGGTTGTATACAGTGGTGTAGAGGTGTAGTTCAGTGGCTCACGGGTAGGTGCGGGGTGCGCGGGGAGGGGGCGCGTCGTCCGTGCGTCCGCGTCGTCAGTCGAGTGCCAACCTCCGCACAGGAAGCATCGTAGTGTCGCGCTTGGATACGTGTAGTGTTGTGTGTGTCGTGTTATAGTGACGGTGTGTTAGTGTGTGTACAGTGGATTATCATCATGTGCTGACGTACAATGTACCCGACTGCGACGATGAACGCCGCCGCCGTAGCTGCGGCAGCTCGACATCCGGTAAGTAACACCCACTTCCGGTCTAGCTACTGTACAACGTAAAGTGTGTTTAGCAAACACTCTTTCTCGACATTTCAGAAGTGCTGAAAGGTTTATCACAAGGGACAAGCTCATTTACGAAATTATCTACTGTAGCCTTTACACTAGACGACCACTAGTCCACCAGTTGAGGCTATGTGACGCTAATATTCCATTGGATAAAATAGCCTATAATGTGTGGAACTGACAATAAATTAAAAAATAATGGTCGGAATCTTCGGAATAGTAATTTCAAATCACCTGTTTCAACTTTATTACATCCGCCTATTGCCTTGCCAGAGCCAGACTATTGAATTTATCATGCAATTTGTACATCGTAATTCAAAAATAACTTAATCAGTATGTAGAACTAGAAATCACATCTAATATGTTCATTAACCTTTACTAAATTAGCGCTGTTAAATGTTACATCCATATTTTTTGCTGAGACACAAAAATGGAGGGGACACCGACATCTTCTGTAATTAATTCTACTGTAAAAGTCTTGGAACTACTTTGCCTCGCGTATACAAATATTTCTACACTCACACCGTGTAAACACGACAGTAGCGGGCCGCGGAGTGATACGAAGGCCGCGCCGTGTTGCCAGTATGTATTTATTTCATTAGGCCCCGCGCTGTGTAAATTACCTGCGATGTAGATAGCGTGTGTGGGTCTGGGATAATGGTCACTTCCGCGGGCAATAAGGCTGATAATCGCTTGCCGACGCGTTGCCCGCGGTGCTCGTAACGTGCCTTATTGGTTTCGAAGCAGTTTTTAGTGTTTTACTGTGTGAAGAACATTGAATGTCCTTGTGTTGTTTTTCAGTGGTGTAAGGACGGTTTCACTGCTGCTTGACCGCAGTTGCGGTATTGTCCGCAGTAGATGTGTTTAACGCCCACAGTTTGTGTTTGGCTTTGCGCCGCGCGGTTCCACTTGTTTACGTTTTTCCGCCTTGCGGTGTTTGGAGCTGTTTCTGTGCTTGGGTAAATTGTGGGTGTGGGTCTGAAGTGAAATTAGTATTTTGACGGATTGAAGTTCAAACATTATTTTGGGATGGGTTTTTTTGCTTTTAAGTGCTTTGTGTGATAGTACAAGCGGCATATAAAAGTCTTATGGATAATTCAGGCACCAAGTTATGTTCCTTAGAAAAATTCAATACACCGAAATAGTATAGACTAATAAATTGTGTTCTTATGTGGTGGCTGGCTGTCAACACTGTACGGTAGTTCTGTGACTGGGCTCTAGGCATACCGAAAAGAATATTATAATAGAAGATAGAAGAGATAATAATAGTCAGTGAAAAATATCTACGGTGTGATTTAACGCACAGCAATCGGCAGATAGGAGATTCCTGAACTTGCTCTCTGAGCTTGGATACTGTTTACCTCAACTAACTTTAAATGTTTCAGATCTACAAAATAATCCTCAAATGTCATAGGCTCACAAAAAATTGTGTTACGGTATGTTGTGGGACGTGTGGTCGAAAATTCTTTAGATTACAATAACATCCTTCTAGCATCCACACACTATGCAATAAAACCTTTTCCTGTTGTAATTTCCAAGAGAGGACGTCTTCACCAGAAATTCCAGAAGAAATACAACCGCTAGATTGTTGGCGAGGTATTGTCCCCGGTGGATATTTACAACCCTCCCCTAGGCTGTTGAACCCCTGACACAATGGCAGGTAGTCTCCTAGTTCCCGGGCAAACTTTCTAATTCCCTCCAGAACACCCAGCCCTCGCCTCGCGCTCTCCAAGGGTCTTTGTTTATTTTTGGAATCGCCCAGCTGTGGTTGCAGCACTGAGCAAACATGCGATGTTTTCTTTGCGATTTGCTTATTTAGGATTCCAATTGGCTGCGTTTTAAGTAGAATCTAGGATCTATAGTGGTTCTTTTGATCTGTCAGGGTGTGCTTCCAGCCTTGTATTTGTAGCAGTTAAAGAAAACACTCAAGAAATCTTTTTGGTGTGGGAAATTTTTATTTTCAATCCAACACGTGTTTGGTTTACCAGTTAGGTTTTGGTAATGAAGTATTTCTCTTAAAACCCATCTTAGCTATTTAAACCAATTAGGTTTCTTTAACCTTAACATACAATTTTGTCAGAGAAAATAGTTTTTGTATTGTTATAGGGGATTGATGTTATAAATGTAAACATGTACAGTTCAAATCGAATAATTAACAAGAAGGGAACAAATAGTTGGTTATAAATCGATGATTTAACATTGATCAAATTCCTAATAGTTCGAATCAACTTGGGAACATAGGAGTTCAATACAAAATTTGCTTAAAAATTCCTAACTATTCAACCGAAGGTTTGTAATTGAAATTCATCGGATGATATAAAGCCATAACACGAGATGGGTTACATATTGAGTACGCCTACGGTGGACGAGCAGAACCAATCTAATTCGAGACCAATTAACAATCAATAAATCTCGACGGGACGTCGCCGTCGTGTTGGACAAGGCGCTGCGATGCCGAAGGGGGGACGTGTTAAAAACAGCACTTAGCGAGGTGGGACTGCGGGGCTTCATGGTACCAATGAATACAGACCTTGATGGTACACACCACCTGCCTGCCTGCCTACCAGCTGACATGAAACCGGTAACCGCCTCTTGCGGTTTGATAGCGCTTGTATTTGCTGAGTAGCTCGCACCACGAGTTTTTATCGCGCAATTAATTTACGAGAATTTAAAGCTGTTGTACGATGGAAACACTGTTTCTATTCCTTAGGTCACTTTGGATAATCCAAATTATCGGAGTGAACTGATAGTTTATCTGTTGTTTTCGGGAAGGTAAGGTTTGTCATCTAAGGGAACCTATTTTATGTAACGTTTAGTTAAGGTCAGACTGTGATGAACTAGGTTTGTTGGAAAAAATGTTATGAGACACGGATTGTATAGTTTTCATTTGGGTAATGACTAGGTTATGGTTACTTTTGGTCTCTTAGGTGAGAATTGGTTAAATGTTAAAGTGAGGTTTTTTAGGTTATGGTCTAAATGGCCAGATTAGGTGTACTGTATTATGTAAGGCTGAGTATTGATTTGCCGAGGCTAACATACAATTCGGCTCAATTTCTCTTATTAGTTAGGAAAAATCTAAAAACAATCCGGTTGACCACCATTTTACCACTTTGCCGCACTAGTCAAATAGTAGTAACTACGCCACAAACACGGACGGTAATCAGCTGGTTTAACGGCCCTTGTGGCCAACCAACACACGGCTACTGCGGCACTCGCATCAACACACGCACCGGAAACGGTCCAACGCCGACACCCCCCGCTGTTCCACGCGGCCGCCCTCCCCCCCCAACATTAACTTTCCCGGAGTTTTTGTTAATCAAATTTATTTTCCGAGTGTGAAATCGCCCCGGGTAATGACCGTTGCTGAGAACTGCCCGGGAGTTTACTGCGTCGCGCTACTCCAAATTAGTGGACGCATAGTTTGGACGTTTCGTGATGGTTGGAGCGGTTTTGGAAGAGTGAGAAACTTCGGGAAATGCTGATCGACATTACCTAATATTTCGCTACCCTTGTTATCTGTTATCGTTTTTTTGGGAGGGGAATAATCACTTTTTTAAAACACTGGCTTGGATGCTTAATGCAAGGTGGGTGTAGAAAAAGTTAAATTGTGTTTGTAGCTGTGTTACAGTACTGAATTAAACAAGCCGTTTCTTTGCCCAGGGCCATTTTAACAGCCCTATGCTCAAGGACTATCAAAAAGCAATTGAATTCCCCAGGATCGAACTAGCGAGCCTTCGATTTACCCTGCACTTGTCTTTTGTCAGAACACACGACATCGTTTGCCTGAACACCTTCACACACATAAAGCTGTTATGCAATATATACGTGGTTTATCTCAGTGTTGTCACGGAGACCAATCAACATTTAACTTCCAAGCTCTGTCTTGACACGACTTACATGGTGTAATAAGCAGGTATAATACATAAAGAAACGATCCTCTATTTATGATGGTTTTATAGTAATGGGCAATAGCGTGATCCCAGGACCTTTATGTAAAACTGTCTACGACCTCAATTAGTATTTTTGTTTCCGAAGCACATGTATATCCAGCTTTAGTGCGGTCGATTCGATATGTTCAGATTTTGAGCCTCATCGCTTTTAACAGGGTGGATCGCGTTCCCGGGGTTTTGTACGCCCCGATCCGTTTTGGAGGGTAACCCCCGCCGAGACAGCAACAGATGTGCATTTTTCACCTTCCCAAGTGTAACTAATGCGCTGACGGTGGGTGGTAAAGGCGAACTTTACCTCCTTTGTTTGGTTTCACAGTAGTGTTTTGGTGTTTCCCAGAATGTAGAGGGATTTGTTACGCGAATCTAGTGGTACGGAGTTGGATTTAGGTGTCCCTTTATCTTGCAAGATTGATTTTAAAAGGCGCATCTTAAAAATAATGTTTTAAACTCGTGGGTTTTGGGTGACGTCTATGTCACAATTTAAAGTTTCGGTCTCGATACATGAAGTTTAAATTGAGCTTACAACTCGCGTTGTCCCTGAAAAAGACACCCTGAAAATGAATTCATACAAGTCCAATGGTGGATTAGCCTTTGGACCACTGAATTTAGACCCTTATGAATATATACATCGACTCATTGGACTAGAAACTAGAAATTAATATCAAAGTTCTCACTGTTAAAAAATAAAATAATAGCTTAATACCTTAAAAGTTTATTTGCAGAATGTAAACATAATGTAGAAGGGCTACGACTTAACGCTTTGTTGATTTACCAAACTACACGTTCACATTTAATTACAGTACAGCAATTTGCTGAATAAGATTCCATCAGATCCCAAAATCAATCAACTGGTGACAATTAAAGTGGCAAGCGTCAATTTCACAGTTTCAGTAACAACGGTCTCCGACTTTAATTAAATAAATAACCAATTAAACGACTCGTCTGTTGTGATCGATTCTTTGTCGTCGAGTCAATTACTCGGCACGTGACTCTTGCAGCCAATCA